TTAATTAAAATTGTATTTGTAGTAATTAAATATTTATGTTTATAAATGTACTAACTAAAATTAAGTAAGTAATTAAATTTATGAAAATATTAACTATTATGTTTGTTGAAATTAAATATTTATGTTTACAAATGTATTAAATTTTCGAAATTTTTTTAAAAAATATTAAATTTTAGTAAATGTGGTTTTTTAAAGTTTCTAAATTTTGTTATATATTTAGTTCACACTTTCAATATTATGGACCTCAAATACTAATAATTTTAATGTATAATTTAGTTCTTGTCAATTGTTTTACCTAATTTATATTCTTAAAACAAGTTTATTCTCTTATTTCTTTCATTTTTTTTTTTCAGCTCCCTATGTGATAAAAATTCTCAATTCTGCAGAATTCTTCAAATATGCAAATGGTAATAAAAATAAAAATTCCACAAAATTCCTCAATTGAAGTGTTACCATTTAGGCCCAATGCAAAAGATATACATTATAAAAGTGAATAATATAAAAGTATCAGCTGCAACATACTAACAAAATCATGCAATGACAAAATATCTTGAGCTAAATTTGGTTATTTGTTTGTTTTTAAGTTGAGTGTTTGGTTTTGTCACCAGTTATATGTTTGGAAGCTATTGGTTTTGTTATATGATTGATTTTTAATAAATGCATATATATATTTAATTATTTATTTTATGTGTTCTCTTTACATCAATTGTTCTAAAATTAGACTGGAACTTGAATATTGTTTTAAAAATATCTGGTCCCACTCTTAGATCTGACAAAATGAAGCAAGGCAACATCGACTGTAATCATCAATGGTGATCTTATCTTTTGTTAAGATAACGATTAGAGACAAGAAATTTGAAGAAAAAAAGAAAGATGTATACACTAATATCGTTATCTTAACAAAAGATAAGATTATCATTGATGATTCCTCTGGCCTAAAGAAAAGATATGTTGTATAATTGCATCCAGCCCATAAAGTTGTGTCGAAAAGTTACACATATCTATTTTCGTTTTGATTAAAGAGAGAAAATGTTTCTAATAACAAAATGATAATTATAAAAATCAATTGAAAAAGTAGGGATCATCAGAAACATGTTGGGGTTAAATCACAGGCGTAATGATTTAAGAATAATAATCACCATCATTATCTCGTTATATAATTCTCACTTTATTACCTTTTTTCTCTCTTTTATATTTATGTTTAATGTATCTTATTATAGAGTACTACTTTGTAATTTTTTGTTACACTTTTTGTTTTGTCAGTTTTTACCAGCAGACCATTATTTCCCGTGATAAAAATGATGGCACCTTTTCCTTACCATTACAATTTTTTTTTTTTAAAAAATGTTAGTACTATTCAATAGAATCTTGGTATGTAATGGAATAAGACTTTATATTATTTTCTTCAAGCATACAAAATAGTAGTCTTAATGAAGAGTCTAGGAAAACAAATCCAAGAAAACTAGTTATAGACTTAAATTAGTCAAATGTCTTTAAAAATGAAACTTGTACTCGATACTCCTATGTTGTGAATGGAGAGCAGAAAAAAGTGGTAGGCACACAAGGTGGGGAGAACTGCATTTTTTCCCCATTCACAATATTTGTAAAAAGAAGTGATTCTTATTAGAAAAGATGATGAACCACATGTGTATCAATTTTACCAAATAAAAGTTTGATCCGCTAATTACAGTATTTACACCCCCCACATTTGGAGTGTTCCAAATAAAAGCGTTTTTCTTCTTCTTTTTTCACACATTTTTTCAATTAAAAATTATATAAAATTAGTATTTTATTGAATGCTGTTAATGTATGACTTTAATTTAAATCGATATTAATATTAGATATTAAAAAAAAACTTGATATTGAAAATATTCATATATGACGTGATTCGTATGTTGTTTATAGCAAAATACTTGATATCAAAAGATGTTTTTTTTTTGTAAAAATATGTTATATTAGTTTTTTTTAATATAATGTTTAAAATATAATGACACATATTTTTATATTTTGTATTTATAAATTAAATTTTCTAAAATTAACTGAATTTGAATTTTGTAAAAAATAACAATTTAAATTATATATAAATTATAAAACATGTGTACAGTATTTTGGACCACATTTTATCCGTTTTCACCATTCAAACATACATTTTGGACCGTTCGATCTGCTTGATCCGCATTTGAACCGCTTGATACGTTTGATCCGCAACGTTTAAAACTTACTGATAAGTGATCAGAAAACCAATATTTCATTTCTTAATTTAGTATAGTTATGGAAAAAGATAAATAAATAAAAAAGCTTCCTCAAAATTCTCAATCTTCTCCATTTCTTCAACATTAGCCCAAAAAAGTAGAACAGACAGAGACACTCACTGCACACTTCTCAAAACA